CTATGTTCCTTTTAACTCAGTGCTAATATTTTTAGTCTTGCGTATACTCTCGCTTTTTAATGGGAATTTATCAAGTGAAAATTTGGGGGATTTGGGATTTGCATTGGAAGGACCGGCACCATTGCAGTTGAGATGAACTTTGGGGGATTATTTTCCTTTTTCTTTTGGTCATTGTAATTATGTTGATGTATTCTAAGAATATTCTTTGTATTTGAATTATCTTATTGACTGTATTTGATTTTTACCTTTGTTGGCTTGATGCAATTAAACCTTTGATTGCCACATCTTGCCTTAACAATAAACCATTTATCTATCTATCTGTGAGGGAGTTTTTTGGGAGGACACACAGAAGTACCGGTAAAAAGGGCCATCATTTCATTCATTTTTGTCCCTGACGCGCCAACCTTGTTCCCATTCATACAAGCTTGCCGCGCTATGAGGTTCAAAGGAATGTGCATGCAGCCCATGGAGTCAAGGTTGGCACCTGTATTGCTTGGCTGCAGCTTGAAATTACACATGAATCCAAAAGTACAGTTGTGGCTGCACCCACTTTCCATACACCCATGCATAAATTGAAGCTGCAGCTAAGCGATTTGAGCACAACCAGTGCGTATGTTGTATGCCGTATGATGAGGATGAGTTAACTTCTTAGACAATCTGCAGAAATTTGCAAGACTTTTTTCAGGATTCCCCCCCCCCAAATCAGAACTTTCTGTTTATAGGCCTTTTAAAACTCGAAAATTGGAACAGTTCCAATTAAATCAGAATAGTTGGCAGGTCTGCTACAGAATGCAGGGCAAAAGCAGCCACTAGCCATGTGTTTTTTTGTGGTTCTTGTATTGAAAAACTTGAATTAGCTACATCAATATCACGACGCTGATTCACGCCACTTCTGATTTTACCGCAAAATCTGACATACACTTCTAGTGGGTGACCCTTGAGCGTAACAAAGCTCTGATCTATGGAGATGTGGATATACATCTCTTGAAGGGGAAGCATGGTTGAAAACTTTGTTCCTCTCTTTATGCCTGAATGATTTTGTTGGTTGTTACAATCTACATACTTGTTCATCAGCAGCAAGATTAACAAACATTGGGATGACATCCGACTTGAGATATTCTAGTTCCACTGCTTTCGAAAATTCTCCAAGTTTACTTGCTGCAGCCCGTCTGACCATTGGGGTTTCATCAGAGCACAAGTTCCTGAAATGGCTAAATCACAACAAAATATTAAACCAATGAGACTTTGATATAAACTAACTGCCTTTGGAAGCCAACATCTTAATCAAAAACATGAGGCAAGAAAGCCAAAGGACAAACAAGCAATACATAGTCCATTTGGCAGTGGCTAACAGTTATATCAGTTTATCCAACAGAGAATACTTGCATTGTTACTCCCACAGACTAAGTGTAAGTTGACAGTACCAATGGAGTAGTCATCTTTAATCAATAAGAAATGGGTGGCAAGACATTCGTTTTTAATGGGTTTAGGAAGTCAAAGTTTATGGGGAAAGTGTTTGGCTTGCAATAATGGTAGGGAAACCCAAGCAAGGTCAATCTTTTTGGCCTGGGAGGACAATCAATAGAAATGCAAATTTGATTTAATTTCTTTGCTATCCAAAAACTTAAAGAAATTGGGTGGATGTAAAAACAATATATTTTAGGTTTTGCTAGATGACTGACATGGTCTTACATGCGTTGGAGCAATTAAACTATTTTGAACAATTATGTGAAAAATGACAAGGTTGAGGTTAAATGGTCAATAACACAATTACAGACAGGAAATCTACTGCAACAGGATTGGACTGTCAACCTCAAAGTGTACAAGATATAATCCTTTAACACAAAGCCAAACTAGGTTTATAACCAGTTATTTTCTTACGTGCGAAGCTCTGCCCTGATGTTGTTAGAGCACTTGGCATAACACACACTGAACAAACCACAAGCTGATGTGCGAGATGTGAACCAATCCCCAGTAGACAGTCTTTTGACCAATGGGTAGAAGTATGCTTCCATATCAGCCGAGGAGTGTTCATCTGACAGCTTCCGTAAAGACTCAACAGCCTTGTCACGAACAACAGTCTCCTCAACAGTAGCTAAACTTTCCAAAGGTGGCTTCCCAGTAAACAGAGTAAAAAAACCAAATGAAGTTTTCAGTCAAGCACTCCCATAAATGTCACCAGAACCAATCATGCTGTTTCAGTACCCTCATTCTAATCAAGCTTTCCCTTGGTACTATGATACATGTATCACAATGGAACACTGTTGAAATAAGAAACGAATGCATTTAGCAGGGTTGTGTTGAAAGCAAGTACACCTGTACACTGTACATATACCAAGTAAGCCTGTTCGATATTCAGTTCTTTTCATATCGCAATATCATAAAAAAATATCGAGATATCAGATATTATCATGACGTCATTTTCCATTCATAAAATAAACACGACCGAAATCACCACATCTCGAGAGCCACGTTAAAAAAACAAAAAAAACAAAAAAAAACGATATACAGGCCTTTGTATCATCTCTACATTTAGAACTCTTATATGCTGGTGGAAAGCAAATTTCAACATGGAAATTGTGGACATTAAATTATCATATATCATATCATGGCAACGTACGGAAAAGGCCATTTCCCCGTACACATTAGCCGTAAAGTTCGCTCAATAAGGCAACCCCCAGAATGGACAGAGCACATGCGTGTGACTAGAGGGGCTACTGGTACAGTGGCACTGATGCCCTCACCTCATTTCTAAGTCGTCATTTATTTCTCACAAGTTGGCATGTTTCACTTCGTCCCTTTTCTACAAGACCACAAAAACTCCTTTGTGTAAGTCGGCAATAAAAATATCGTGCTTCGGTATTGGTTTCCTTTCCTTGGTTGCCTAAATGCGTCAAGCCACAATACCCACACTGTCTGACTGATGCATGCACGTGGTTGAGTACATCAATACGAGGGACCCCTCTTGGGCTACACGCATGCGCTCTGACCATTTTGGGGTTGCTTTATTGAACGAACTTAACATGTAGGCTGTTTTCCATTACTCAACTTCCTCTCCGTTCAGGCTTCAACTGATTAATTAGCAGCTGGAAGAAGCTTTCGAACAAAGTTGCCAAAATTTGTTTTGTACTTCATTGATCATGTGCTAAAATCAATGAAGTGAACAAGGCATCATCCATTTTTCATTATTTTGATGAGCACATGAAATATATAGTACTCTTAACCTTTGACCCCAATCCGCCATAAACAGTAGGCAAGAAAATGATGACCAACCATCATTTTCAGTTTATGACAAGCATGTTACACAGACTATTAACTCACCGCTCCCAAGTAACCATACATTTTGTGCACTTGTGAAGATGAAAGAAGTGGATGGCCCTTAGAATGATTGAACTCAATCAATTTGTACAGAAATTCCCTTAATGATGAGTACCTTGAGGTATCACTATTTATCTCATTACCTGGCCTTGAGGTCTTACAAAATAGTACACATGCACACAGACACATACATGTACAAGACTAGTGATAAAACACTTCCATTTTTACCAGCTGCAAACTGTTATCAGTTTGAATCCCTATTTGGCTTGCATGTCTCCACTAATATTTCTAAGGAGTTGTACTCACCAAAAGAGAGTGAACAAATTCTGGCCCACCAACCAATGCAGTAAAATTCCCGAGCTGTTCCGCCAATGCCAGCAACACTTCATCCTCATCATAAATAGTATCTTTAGAAGGAATAAGATACAACGTACAGTGTATGTAAAAAAGAGAGAGACTCAGGCAGGTACATGTACATGTACTACTGGTAGGTAAGGTTAATATTTAAGTACAGAACTCTCAGTTGACTGATACCGAAACTTTGTAATCCTAAATTTCATTTTGTCTTTTCTAATTATTTCCAAATGTAAAACCATCCTCTATTAAGTTGTAACTGCAGCCCCCACTTTTCCATTCACCGCACTTACATGTACATACAATGTACTGTCCATGTACATGTAAGAGGTCCCTACATATACAGTACATGTATGTGGTTCTTTTGATGTAACTTATTGCAAGTGGGTAGAAACATGTAAAACAATTGCTTGTTAGAAATACACTCAAAAATACAATTGAAATATTCATGACAAAAATAAAAACCATGACAGTAGAAATATAAAGAACAATGCACTGGGACAGCTATAGAACTATTAAAAGCGACAATATTATGTAACTTTTCCCTCATCCACAAGACGTGCTACACACAGACCTTTGCATGTTAGGGGTGGACAATAGATGGCTTATTGAGGGATTCATTTTTTATGCAATAAGCCTTCTGCGAGTTAACTTTAACCTAAACCTGGTATACTGAGTTCTTTAAATTCACGTGAACATAGAAACTTGAATTTTCCTTACTAAAACCACTGTTGCTATACCTCGCGATTCGGGGTAAGCTTTTGCTTAGTTACATGAGAGATGCCTTGCAACAAAACACTGTTCTCACTAGATAAGAAGGGCACAAAGGAACCAGTCCATTCCAGAGATGGTGGTCGCTATGCGAAAGCTTGCCCCGAATCACAAGGTAGAGCAACAGTGTCTTTAGTCTGGGGAATTCAAATCGTTATGTTTATGTGCAGTCAGATAACTCGGAGCACCAGATTTAAATTTAACTTGCAAATGGTTTATTGATGTTTCCGCTCACAGTGCAGAAATGGTGTTCTTTTCGTTGTGATTTTTCCTGTTTTCTGTTTCATCTTCTTCTTTAAAACACATTGAGTGTGTACACAGGTTTTTCAACGTGGGACTTTGGTCACTCTGCAAACTTCCATCCTTATCAAAGTTATACCAAGGAAAGACCTTGTTGCAAAGATAATCCTAGACCGTTCTTGTTGACATACACTAGTATCTCCAGAAGAAAACAAGGTATTTAGAAATTCTTTGTCACAAGACATTTGGTGATTGAAGCTGATCTGCATAGCATTTAGAAATGTTTGTGGCCCAGTCCACATGTGGGTTGGGTTTTCAATCCCTACCTGATTCCGTGGGTTTTACCCAGAATATTTGTCCCACCTCTAAAAACTGTACACATAACTACTTCTCATTGTCTCCTCTCTACAGGTTTCGTGAGCGCCAGTGCCAAGAGTGCTTTTGAGGAATCCTTGGTCTCAATAACTCAAACCTCAGGGGAATAATAAAATCTTTGTATTTCTGAATTTCAAACCAACAAAGGTTCTGAGGTCTCAGAGTCATAATACACATACACGCACTGGTAGGCCTGTGCCGGGTACCCAGGTACCCGCCTGTCACTATCGAAACCCATTTCCATTTTTTCGGGCCGGGTACCCGTACAAAAAAATTAATTAAATCAGCAACAAACATCCATGTATAAAATGTCTGTGAAATATCATACTGAGGGGCAGACTTCAAAAATCACCATGCTGCTGAAAACCCGGTCCCGTGGTCATACATGAAACTTCAGTTTGGAGATCAACAGCTACATGTACTGTTGTTATCTACATGTACATGTACACCGCCTTTGTACTGCAGTCGTTTTCCTAGTTCCTGATTTTCCTAGTTAACAAGAACGAAAAAAGGACTAAAATTCACGTAGCGATAGGTCATTCACTACGTGTGATTTCAAATACTTTTTATATTGAATAGTCATATACACTTTTGCATCTGATGTCTGCTTAATCAAAATGACTTTTCGAGTTTCCATTTTTTGTTAATAGTCATATACACTTTTGCATCTGATGTCTGCTTAATCAAAATGACTTTTAGAGTTTCCATTTTTTGTTAATTGACCGAAAAATGAAAGCTTTTTCCACTACTTTCGAATCGCGCAGCTTTGCCACTTAAACTCAACTACACAGGCACAGCAGAAATGTATGTGACGTAATGGGTTCGTCAACTGTGCGATGCGGGGGAGAGTACCGTTGATAGCTCGCTGTACAGTTGAAAACTCAAGTCAAACATTACGCAGTTTCTACTTTTTAATTCATTGGAATTCTTATTTTTGATTTGATTTTCTCAAAATTAAGAAATTCTTTATTAAAAAAAGCAACTTTTTACAATGGTTTTGGCTGAAAATGGATTTTTTGCATGGTTACATTTTATTCGTGAAGAAGTTTTTGTCTTGATCCAAAACTGATCCAGAACTAGGAAAGGTGTCGTCACTTTTGTCGATCCTGTGATCCAAATATAAAAGGTTAGATTTTGAAAAAAGCTCTCATCTGTTCTGATGTTCCTTGTGAAAATTTGTTTTGTGTTTCATATACATGTACCAACAAAAGGACAATTTGCAAACTGACGGTAACAATTTCGTTTGATAAAAAGTCAAGAGAGATTAACCCTGACGTTTAAAACAATGTGCTGCTTGCTTCCTATGTACGAAAAAGAGCCGTGTTTCGGGCACATGGTCCACCGGGGTCGCATGCAATGCCATTTTTTTATTAAGTGATCTCTTTTCTGGGTACCCGATGTTGACAAAAAACGGGTACCCGGTTCCAAGAATACGCAGAAATGCACACCCCTGCGCACTGGGTATCTAATCAAAACTAACTCACTGCATAGCAGCGTTTTTGTGTGTTTTTTCTTTGTTTTATTAATTCTAATGGTACACAGTTTTGCTGAAAAGTCATCATTTTACCAAGATTTTGTTGTTCTTACATAAAAGATTCTTTTCTATCAATTAACAAATGAAATGGCAAACCTTTTGTATTTTTCATTCGATTGTATTTCAGCACTTGAGTTTCTTGTGTGTAGTCCAATGACCACTGTAGAGTCAGCAAAAGGATTGCATGGTACAATTGGGATTGCAGTAGCAATCAGACTAGCCTGCACAAAATCGGCCCCCAACCCCAAATGTGTGATGTATCCAAACTATTTTTCAGACGCACACTGTATACATGTACATGTACAGTCGACTCACGTTATTACGAAATTGGCTTCAACAAAATTCCAGTTATAACAAACACACTTCTGTGGGCAAAAATGTGCACATTTCTATGGGGAGAAAATCTGTTACAACGAAATCACATTGGAACAAATTCCTGTTACAACAAAAGGTTTTTGTGACTCCATTGCATGAAAACCATTGTTGACAACCCATTTTTAATGAGCATTTTTAACCTTAACTGCCCAAAAACCTGCCATACTCCAACTGCAGGTTTTGTGAGGTTTTGGCAGGTTTGGTACCGTACCTGCGGAACTTCTTGTTGAATTTTGTGAGACTTGGGATGAAAGGCCCAGGGAGATGGTGTTGGATTCTGTGTGAATTGGGACACACACAGGTCATTGTGTGCAGTGTCTGGCTTGCTGTACCCATTGTTGGACTATGCTTGATTTTGTCAGCTTTGGTACTGTTCAGTGCAAGTCATCCTATACTGCATAGACCCATCCATCATGTCCATACCATATTGTTCAAACTCCAACGGGCTCATTCTGTTGGCGTTTACCAGGTTTGGTACAGTAACCTGCATGTACAAGCACATAGACAAGTACATGAACCTGTTGGATTTTGTGAGGTTCAGTATGCTTTCTAGTGCAGGAGCCTAGGGGGTTAGGGTTAATGAACATTTATGAATTGTGGTGGTGAAAACAGTGGGTCGCAGTGGGTGAGTGAACTCAGTGGTCATGTAGCGAGTCGAAAATCAAGACAAATGGAAAGTTAAATAAAGTTAAATATATCTCTCCATGACACAATTTGTGTTGGAAAGACTACTTACATGTACATGGATGGGGGCTCCATTGGATGAGTCTTTACATTTTTGAAGGTACACACAGGCCTACATGTGCATGCCGTTTAATTACTATTAGTGTTAGCTTCATAGTCATCCATGGCAAATGAAAGTCTTTTCAAAATCCCTGGATCAATGCTTTCATGTATATTCAGCGTTCTCCCCATGTACAAACTTGCATATCGGGCCCCGATACGCAAAATTTTATTTCTGCCCGATGCGCGAAAGCCGGGCCGATACCCATTTTTTCATCCCCAATAAGCACGATATATTTATATATCTTACATAGTGCAGATTGCATGTCCGGAAAATTGGCGGCCATAATGCACACCGTACATGTACATTGGCCGGTGTCACATGAAATCTGAACTTCCATCATAGGCGTCGTACATGCACTAACGCGCGTATGTGTGTTTTCTCTGTGCCATGTGCTAAATATGCTAGTGGGGCTGCATTTACGAAGGTTAAAACTTTATACTACACCATTCGCAGAACTTACAACATCGACCCCACACACATTTTTTTCATGGCAGCAGCCGTAGCCCTGTGTAATCGTATTAATGGCATCTACAACGGGGACAATATTTCCACGCCATGACTTCACAACATGTTGGTTAACCACAATGGAAATCCCCCATAGTTTTGAAAAATCCTGGGGAGAACCCTGATATTTGCTTTTTATCTCACATGCACATTAAACATGTCATATGACAGTCATGTTTATTATTCTAAACACATCACAGCATATTTGATTAATCATAACCAAGAGATCTTTTTGATATCATTAACATCAGCCATGTTCACATGTATGCATACATACACAATTGGACCTATACACCGTACACGCATAGTACCGAAACCACTGCACTGTGTTCTACCTATATGTAAAACAAATTTTGGATACAACAAACATTTCTAACTTCAGGGATCTGCCGCTGCCGGTCGGCGCCGGTCGGACCCGACCGGAGGGAAGAATTGCCGACCGCCACAATCTGCCAAATCAACTTTTCTGACCGGCACGTATTCCCGATAAGAACCCAAATAAAATAGCATCTTAGTCGAGGGATCAATCGTGAAGATATGAAGATCGTGAAGAAACCATAAAATTTCTTCGTAAATTTCACTTTGCACTGCCATGCATATCGTCTGCGCACCCACGAGTGCATATGCAACATATCTGGACCAAATATTAACAT